ATAAATAGTGGTGAAGTGGGAAAATCTAATAACAAAATATAAATAATAAATACTTGTGCAAGAATTTATTGCTCAGATCCCCCGGTTTTGTGTTTTCATTGTAGGAAGAGCTTGAAACAGCAAAAACATTTCTGTATTACGAAATGGGCTACAAAGTGAAAACAGATCAATTRACAGACAGCTCTGAGATCAGCCTGGTGCCTTCAGACATCGAGAGGTGAGTGGGGCAGGAGGTGCTGTGGGGTGCAGGAAATAGGGACAGCCCTCTGTGACAGTCCCTGTCCCCYCTGCAGGTACAAGAAACGGTTCCACATGTTCGACAAGGACAAGAAAGGCTTCATCACCATCCTGGATGTGCAGCGAGTGCTGCAGGTGAGGCTGCCCCGGCTCCTGCCCAGCTGGGCTGGGTTTAGCTGAGCCCGGCTCCTGGCCCATAGGGAGCGGCTGGGCTGGGTTTGGCTGAGCCCGGCTCCTGCCTTTGGGGAGCGGCTGGGCTGGGTTTAGCTGAGCCCGGCTCCTGCCTGTGGGGAGCGGCTGGGCTGGGTTTAGCTGAGCCCGGCTCCTGCCCAGCTGGGCTGGGTTTAGCTGAGCCCGGCTCCTGCCCCGTGGGGAGCGGCTGGGCTGGGTTTAGCTGAGCCCGGCTCCTGGCCCGTGGGGAGCGGCTGGGCTGGGTTTAGCTGAGCCCAGCTCTGAACCCCTCCCTGCTGTGTTTGTTCCCTGCAGAGCATCAGCGTGCAGATCGCCGAGAACACCCTGCACGAGATCCTCAACGAGGTGGATCTCAACAAAAACGGGCAGGTGGAGCTCAACGAGTTCCTGCAGGTACGGTGTGCTCTGGCTGCAGGAGGGGCTGATTCCTCAGAGAGCAAAAACACGGGCAGGGAAATCCTGCTGCATCCTTGGAGAGCAAAAACACACGGGCAGGGAATTGCTGCTGCTTCCACAGAGAGCAAAGACACAGGCAGGGATTTTCTGCTGTTTCCTCAAAGGGCAAAGATGGGCAGGGAATTGCTGCTGCATCCTCAAAGGACAGAGACACAGAGACACGGGCAGGGAAATCCTGCTGCTTCCTCAGAGTGCAAAAACACAGGCAGGGAATTGCTGCTGCTTCCTCAGAGAGCAAAGAAAAGGGCAGGGAATTGTGCTGCCTGCTGCTGCTTCCTCAAAGGACAGGCAGGGAATTGCTGCTGCATCCTCAGAGGGCAAAAACAGGCAGGGAAATTCTGCTACTTCCTCAGAGAGCAAAAACACAGGCAGGGAATTGCTGCTGCTGCTATCTCACAGAGCAAACATGGGCAGGGAATTTCTGCTGTTTCCTCAAAGGGCAGAGATGGGCAGGGAATTGCTGCTGCTTCCTCAGAGAGCAAAGATGGGCAGGGAAATCCTGCTGCTTCCTCAGAGAGCAAAAACACAGGCAGGGAATTGCTGCTGCTTCCTCAGAGAGCAAAGACACAGGCAGGGAATTGCTGCTGCATCCTCAGATAGCAGAGACAGGGGCAGGAATTGCTGCTGCTTTCTCAAAGGAAAAAAACACACGGGCAGGGAATTGCTGCTGCTTCCTCAGAGAGCAAAGACACCGTCAGGGAGTTTTCCCCTTGGCTTAGGGCTGGGTTGGAGACCAGGGGAGTGTTACCTGTGCTGTTGGTCAAAAGGCACACTGAGCCATCCTCGAGCACCTTGGAAATTCAGGGATTTTTTCCCAGTCAGGCCCAAAGAACAGGTCCAGTTCACAAAGTGTGCCCCAGTCCAAACCTGAATTTGGCTTTTTCAGCCCAGAAATGCTGTTTAAAGCTATTAAAAATGGTACAGGTGTGCACCCTGACATTATCTGCAGCTGTTAAGGGATATCATAAAGATGAATAAACTAAGTAACTGAATAATAATGAAGAACCAAATATCTATAATAATAAATAGTAATATAGTTATAATAATAATAATAATAATAATAAGCTAAATAATTAAATTATAAACGAAATAATTGAATATTGCAAAGAATGAACTTGTAGTTGAAGCCCATCCAGGCCCTATAACCCATTTGAACTCCTGGATTGGCTGAATTGTCCCAGTCTGTATGAAATAAAAATAGCATGCATCTGCTTTTTTGGGGAGCTTTCAAGCAAACCCTGAGGTGCTCCCTCTGCATATGCAGTTTGTCAACTGGGTTGGTGTTTGAGGAATCTTTTTTGGGGTGGTATTTCAGAGGCTGCCATGTCTCCCCTGGCCRGTGGCAATGATGAATGCCAAACAGGAGAGAAATTAATGCTGGGGATTTTGGTCAATGTCAGCCCTTTCTTCACTGTGTCAAGTTAAACAAACAAGATCAAGGCAAAGGAAATGGTAATTGTCTCTCTGGAGATGAGCTGGGGATAAGAGCAGCATTGTTGAATCTAAATGCAGAAAATTTTCACAGGTTGTGTCCAGCATTAGCAAAAAGGAGTATTTATTTGCCTAAAATTGCAGCAATTGAGCTGAGCAGCTGCAGTGCACTTGGGGGAAGGGGAAAAGCCAAAGGGGGGGAAGGAAAACCACGGAATTTGGGGTTTTATAATGATCCATTCAAATGGGAGAGAAAATCCCAGCTGGAAAGGGTCACCCCTGTCCCTCCATGGAAACCTTTCCTTGTGCCAGCCCAGCCCTTCCTGCAGGGCTGAGGAGCTCACTTTGGCTGGGTTGGGTTCAAACAACCAGTAAATGTTGTTCTCTGGGGTTTG